GGCAGCCTCTGTCTAGGGATGGGGAGGGCATGTCAGGGCAAGCCTGACACCTAGAGGGGGAAGCCAACAGGAGGAGGTCCAGGTCCCTGGGTCCCCAGATACCCTGTTCGGTGGCTTCAGCCTCCCCTGGGTCTATGTTAGCTCACAGGAGCCAGGACTCCAGCATTGAAAGACCTTCAGACCCTGGTGAGCTCAGTGGTCAGAGCCAAGCTGATGCAGTGGGCTCCTGATAGTCATTCCCAATACCCCCACTGTCTTCTACCATGTGGGTTCAGAACCCTATCCTTTGATAGGTGTTAAGGGAGCCCCTCCTGGACCAGGCTGTTGCAGCACCAGGGAGGCTCTTTGGATAGAGAAACTTCTTCATTCTTGATGTGTGTGTGTGTGTGTGTGTGTGTGTGTGTGTGTGTGTGAGTGTACATGTGTGTACATATGTGTGCATGTATGTGCAAGGGTTGGAGATGTAATAATCATGTGGGGGCAAGTTCAGATGCCAGAACCAAGCAAGCAGCTCAGGTGTGTGTAGGGTAGTAGGCTTAGTGCATACCAAGAGACAAAAACAGAACTGGGAGAGCTGGGCATGGTGGCACAGCCTGTGGTTCCAGCACTCAGGATGTTGAGGCAGGAGGATCTCAAGTTAAGGCAAGGCCAGCCTGAGCTACAAAGTGAGAGCTTGTCTCAAAAATAACAGACACCTGCACTCGGGAGACAGAGGTAGGCGGATCTCTGTGAGTTCAAAGCCAGCCTGGTCTACATAGCGAGTTCCAGGCCAGCTGGGGCTACGGGGAGACCTTGTTTCAAAAAGACCAAACGAAAACAAAAACAAAAACAAAAATCCCCAAAATAACAGACACAATTCCTCCAACTAAAAGAAGAAAAAAAAAGGGAAAGGGACTGGAGAGATGGCTCGGCGGTTAAGAGCACTGGCTGCTCTTGCAGAGGACCCGGGTTTGATTCCTAGCACCCACATGGTGACTAACAACCATCTGTAACTCCAGGGGATCCTACGCCTTCTTCTGACCTCCACAGGCACTGCACGACATGGGTACACTTACACACATGCAGGCAATACATTCATACATGTAAAAAAAAAATTAAAAAAAAAAAGGGAAAGGAATAGTTGGGTGATGTCATCTAGGTCAAGTGACCGGAAGTACAAGGGCCCTGAGGTTTGGAGGAATAAAAGGACTATTGAGCCAGGCGTGGTGGTACAGGCCTTTAATCCCAGCACTTGGGAGGCAGAGGCAGGAGGATCTTTGTGAGTTCGAGGCCAGCCTGGTCTATATAGCGAGTTCCAGGATAGCTGGGGCTACAGGGAGACCCTGTCTCAAAAAGACCAAAAAAAAAAAAAAAAATTGAAGTGGGTAGTTTAAGCAGGATGGTGTAGAGGGCAGGGAGTCCGCAGAGCTTAAAGATCTGAGCATCTACCAAGGAGAGACCTTTAGGTTTCACGTAGCCTTGGGTAGCTGCTTTACAAAGCTAGCCATGTGGCTGAGTGGTTGATCAGAGGGACAAGAACAGCAGCTAGAGGCCTGGAGAACAAGTGCTGGTTCAGGGCCAGCCTGCCCTACTAGAGGGAAAGTAAGACCCAAGGTCCCCACTGCATGCTGTGTCACTACTGCATGCCCATGATGCACGGGAGGCGGCTCCCATCTCTCCACTCTGCCCATGGTGCTTCTCCTCCATTTGTGCATCTCTCTGTCCATCTCCTCCTCCATTCACCAACCCTTTCTGTTCTCCTCTTTAAGGCCGCCTAGCTTTGGGACATCATAGACCGGGGGCAGGTGCACACCCAAAAGTTCTGTGTATCAGAACTCTTTACTAAGACATCTGTGTGTTTAACTACCCTGTACCCTTGGACACAAGACAAAGGGAATGGAGTTAATGAAATCACCAGACTCAGTTTGGGGATGCAGCTCAGCCGGTAGAGTGCTTGCCTAGCACGCATAGACTCTGGGTCTGTTCTCCAGCATCGCATAAATTGGGCATGGCCCAGAATCCCAGCACTCTTAAGGGGGAGTCAGGAGGATCAGAAGTTCAAGGTCATCCTAAGCTACATAGCATTATGAGACCTTGTCTAAATAAAATAAGTAAATAAAAATCAAATCCAGTCTCTAGATTCTGCCTGCTGTAAGTGACCCAGTGATTCACAAAGCAGGAGGCCTAGGCATTACGCATTCTGGGGTCCGGGAGCTCTTCCCAGATGGAACAAATTGCAGACCCCTCTTTCCTTTGTTTCACGCTTCCTCATCCTCAAAAGTGGGACAGTCCTCTTTAATTAGACAGTGCTTGGGGATTCCATGGAGCACTCCTGTTCTCTTTTAAGATGAGACACCAGCTTTGTGATCCTGGCTCAGGATTGTACCAGGGCCAGAATGGTACCCATGACCAATCCTGGGGCTACACAGGCATGTGAACATTGTCCCTGCCTTGGGGACATTTAGCTTTCCTGTAGAGACCTCCCGAGTCTTGCAGTCATCTGTTTATGCCTGACACATTCATCTGCCGTGACATTGTGGTAGGGGTGGCTCTGCTGGGGTGGGGGTAGTCTCAGCCAGCCCAAGTTGTTCGGTGTGGTCAGACATCATTGTGTGGCTTGGACTTTCATCTTTCCCCCTGTGGGCCAGAGTACACGAATTGTACTTTTCTCTTGTTCTGCTGAGTAGCCAGCATGGGGCCAATGCCCCCCGCCCCCAGGTTTGCCTCCTTGAGCACCGAGCCTGTCTTCATACTTCTCAACACTGTTTCTTCTTTGTGGAAGGGCCTCAACCCCCAGATTTTCAAGGCTTCCCATGGCGGTTTCCTATCATAGCATATGCTTTCAGCCTTGGCTGCAAATCTCTGTTGGGTATTTGAATATTACTTAAACTGGAATTGTAGTTATCAGCTCGGTAATTCTCCAAATTACCAAGTAACCAGGGGGGCGGTATGGTGGGAAGAGCTTTCTTCTGGATGTCAGGAGACTACATGGGCTATGCCCAGGACTGGTAACCTGAATTAGTTGGTTCACTTGTTGAGCTTAGATTCAGCATGGGGCGTTTGGAAACAGGATGGTTGGGGCCGGCAATCTAGGATAAGGCAGGCTGCCTATTGGAGATGGAAGTGTAGCCACTGAGGAGGGTCCCCAGGCCCCAGCTCAGTCCTTGCCACCTCCCCATGCCTCTGCTTCTCACAGATCTGATCTAGGTGACTAGGAGCTGCCACAGACAAAAGGCCAACCCACTTGGAATGATGAAATTGGATGCTATGGACAGAAAATTGTCCTTATGTAGGCGGCAGACTCATTCCACCGTGCTTTCCAGTCACACTTTTCACTCCACTGTTTCCTTCTTTGACACGGGGTCTCATATCCACAGCTAGCCTCAAAACCCACTGTACAGCTGAGAATGACCTTAAACTCCAGATCCCCCTGCCTCTACCTCCTGAATGCTGGGATTACAGGCATAAACCACCACATCCTGTTTAATGCAGTTCTGGAGATCAGACCCAAGGCTTCACGCTTGCCAGATAGGAACTTTACCAACCAAGGTGTATCTCCAGCTCCCGTCTTTCCTCTTTCAAGCCCTCCTCTTTCCTCTTCCAAGGCTTAGCGTGACCATCCCACACCCTAGCACTCAGAGCTCTCAGAACCCTGATTCTCACAGCCTCAACTACCAACACCAGTATTCTGTGAGAATTTACTAGAAATGCAAATTACTTATTTTTTAAATTTTTATTTATTATTATTGTTATTTTTTGGTCTTTTTGAGACAGGGTCTCCCTGTAGCCCCAGCTGTCCTGGAACTCACTATGTAGACCAGGCTGGCCTTGAACTCACAGAGATCTTCCTGCCTCTGCCTCCCAAGTGCTGGGATTAAAGGCGTGCACCACCACGCCTGGCTTGTTATTTATTATTTTTATTTTATGTGTATGCATGTATTGCCTACATGTAGGTAAGTGCACCCGTGTTGTACAATGCCTGCGGAGGTCAGAAAAGCCTGTCGGATTCCCTGGGACTGGAGTTACGGGCAGTTGTTAGCTGCCATGTGGGTACTGGGATTCGAACCTGGGTCTTCTGCAAGAACAACCAGTGTTCTTAACCACTGAGCCATTTCTCCAGCCTGAAATGCAAATTACTTTTTTCTTTGGAGACAGGGTTTCATGTACCAAAGATGGTCTTGAATCTACTATGTAGCTGAGACTGGGCTTGAACTCCTGAATCTTCTGTTTCTACCTGCCAAATGATGAGATTATAGGCATGCCCAACCATGCTCAGCTGAGGAATACAAATTCTTTTATTTATTTTTTATTATTTTTATTTTATGTGTATGAATGTATTGTCTGCATGTGTGTAAGTGTACCCGTGTCATGGTCATGCAATGCCAGGGAGGTCAGAAGAAGATGTTGGATCCCCTGGAACTGGAGTTACAGACAGTTGTTAGCTGCTGTGTGGGTGCTGGGAACTGAACCCGGGATTCTGGCTGGCTTGGAACTCTCTATGCAGACCAGGTTGGACTCATAGAGATCCTCCTGCCTCTGCCTCCTGAGCTGGAATTAAATGGGAGTGTGTCACTCCACCCTGCTAGAAATGAAATTTCTTAAGTTGGGGATATAGCTCAGCTGCCACTACCCAACAGGGCCTGCTGCAGAAGGAA